TAAATTTTTAAAAGAAAGACATTTTCTTTTAATGCATCTCACAATGAGCTTTGAAGAGAAAAGATCAGAATTACAGAGGTTGGAGATTAAGTATTCTGTGGAGTACACAGCCCGTAGTAAATGCACTACTTGTGTGGGTTTTAAGTTCTATTTCTTTATGAACAAACAGTTTCATTCTCTGAAGAGTGTTCTGTGAGAGCTAATCATTGTTTGTGTTTCTAAGTTATAAAACATATATTCCTAATAAGTTGAACTTAAAACTGGATGGGATGAAATGAACATTCTTTCCTTGAAGCTTGTCTATAGAATTGTCAAGAAAAGGATATATAAATTTTAAGACAGCCATCCTTGTTATGTAGAAAAGTATTACACTACAGCAATGTTTATCAAATACCAAGTGGACTTACTTAACTCTATTCTTGTTGCCTCTATTTTCCATTTGTAAAATAGAAATAATAAGACCTGTCAACGTTTCTGAAATAATTAAATGATATATTAAGTACTTAGTAGGGAACAAATGTCGAATAATATATTGATAGGCTGGAGAGTCTAAAATGATATTTTTCCAATTATCTTTGAATTTTTCAGAATTCATTTTTCTGATCATCTTCTCTGATTCAAATAACCCTGCTACCTGTTAATTACTCACATTTAGAATTAAAGTGAATTGGATTTGAGAAATGTATGGAGGATTCCTAGTTTGCCAGGATACTTTGCTAAGTAATCGCTGGAGAAATTTAGTAATATTGACCTTCATTTGTCACCATGTGTAAATAATCTTAATGTGGGAGCATAAGCACTGTGTGGTGCCCATGTTCTCTGCTTTACATTTGTGGTATTGCAAAATAAAACACCTGCCAGAGTACTGTGGAATGCAATCTTGGGAAGGCTGTGGCCAAAGTAATCCCATATGATGGAGGGAGAGTGGAGAAAATACTCCTTGATAGATATGCCCTGTGTACCATCTATAAAACCACAAGTGCAATTCTTAATTTCTTCTAAAAAAAGATTATAGACTGAGGGGTACTGTAGAACCCAAGCAAATTATTCATAAAAAGAAACAAGAAAGCATCCATTTATCTAAAGGTTTAGAAGGCAGAAGTTTTCAAAGATAATATTAAAAATTGATAAATCAGTTTTTAGTATTGTACCTCAAGTTGCAGGCACCACATTTGAGGAAATAATAGTTATAAGCGTGACAGTCCACAAGAGGACATTTCCAAGAACAGTTCTACAACAAACCTGTCAAAGTGCTCGGTCAGCTGCTCCTCAGAAGATTCTCCAGGTGGTCTGTACGAACTATATATGCTGGTAGTTCTCTTTTACTCTCCCTCTGCCTTAGTCTTTTAAACTACTTTCACTCATCATTGCTTATGTTGGTTACAGTAATGGGAAATATTGGGATATATGTCCTGTTATGAAGAAGAGTAGCTAAATCCCAATCTTAGGGTGTCATAATAAAGGTTAGCTGACCACCACAGCGCTTCATATATAATTCAAATTCTATACCAGAGCTCGTCCTGGGAAGCTGCTGACAAGCCAGAGGGTCCACTTCTCAGTTGCCTTGTATCTAGAGACACGTGAATATTCCTGGCCAGTACATGTAAGAAAATGATTTATATATTTAATGTGGCTCCCCTGACTCATACCTTTCTATGACGACAGCAGTGTGTTGGATGTGTGACCACATTTACTCAGAATGTGATCTTATTTGGATTAGTGATCTTTGTCTACGTAAGTAAGGTAAAAAATCTCCAAATGAGATCACTTTGAATTACGGTAGGCCCTAAATCCAATGATAAGTCAATAGTAAGCTATAGGAGAAGAGAAGAGACAACACAGTGTCACACAGTGGGAAAGGGCACATGAAGATGAAGGCAGAGATTGGAGGGCAGCCACAAGCTAAGGAACTCAAGGATTGTCAGTGGCAACCGGAAGCTAGGAGAGAAGCATGAAATGGCCTCTTCAGATTAGCACATTGATTTTGCACTCCTGGTCTCCAAAACTATGAAAAGAATAAATTTCTGCTATTTTAAGTACCAAATTTGTGGTAATTTTATATTGCACAAAAAATCCAGGCTTCTACAAGCCTGATAACACCAAAGATTGCCAGAAAACCACTAGAAGCTATAGGACAGCCATTGCAGATATAATTGGTAAAATGTAGATGAGGTTATACTTGATTAAGGTGGGCCCTTTATTCAATATGACTGGTGTCCTTATGAAAGGGGGGAATGTGGATACCGAGACACACACACAGGATCATCCCAAATGAAGAAGTCATAGATTAAGATAATCTACAAGTCTGAGAACACCAAAGATTGCTGGAAGAGGAGAGGCACTGAACAGATTCTTTCTCACAGCCTTCAGAAAAAAATAACCTTGCTGGCACCTTGATCTCAAACTTCTAGTCTTCAGAACCATGAAGCAATACATTTCTGTTGTATAAGCAATTCAGTTTGTGGTATTTCGTTACCACAAATGGTATTAAAAATAATACTATTTTTATTAGCCCTAGCAAACTAATACAAGAAGGTTATTAGTACAAACACAAAGTAAGTTCAGACACAGGGTAGATTTCAAATAGGGTTTTATCTGATTTCTACTAATTCTCTAAGGTATTCTCTCTTTTATGGGTCACCTTTTGCTCTGGGTGTCTTTTCTCATGGTAGCAAATGGTTGCAGGAGTTCCAGGCATCATATTCACTTCTGTGCTTTCCAGAAAAAGTGAGAGTATCTTTGACCCAGCATTCTAAGTAAAAATTTAAATTTAGTTTGGACTGGACTAGACTATTGCTAACTAACTGTGGGATTGATAATTAGAAGTGTTGACTGATCTAAGGGAATCCGGGTGGACTTTTAGATTTGAAGAAAGATAAACATCCCTCAAAGCAAATGAGCAGCCTAGTCAGGGGAGTATGCCTGAGCAAAAATAAGGTATCATGGGAAAGTAACAGTGGGAAAATGAAAGCCAAGTAAGTGGCAAATGGACCAGAGATACATATTTTAACGTTGTTTTTGCCTTCCAAATAGTTTATATTTCTAACTTGTCAACTTTATCCTTCGTAATACCTGATTTAATGTGTTCTTCAAAAAGAAAATTTGGATTTCTTGTAGTTGTTCATTTTATGCACATTTTTTATAATTTTTAATAAATATCGAGAATTGCATTTTTTTAACTTTAAAAATGTATTTGTTAATGTGTGAATATTCGATTGTTATAACAGCAAAAAATAAATTTAGTGGCAACAACTTTTGAAACTCGTGTGCATATTCTTTAACACATTGCTATTTTTTAAATGGCATTTAGAAAATTTTTCACTGGTTACCTATATTTACAAGGCAATGCTGCATATTTTCCAAGAAATACATCATGTTTTTTACTGCTGAAAAAAGTAGTCTATATTTTTCTTATAAAAAGAAAAATTACAAGTGTATATTTAATATCTTGATAAATAATTTTTATTTGGGAAAATACATTTAAAGATCAATTTTATAGAATACTATTCTGCATATTGTTTGTTTGTTTTAATCCCATGGACCTATACTGATTTTAATGGCTTACAAAGAACTTCTGATGTGGAGAAATGCCATCTAGTTTAAAAGTTTCAGAGTTCCCACTTTAACTAAAGGTATATTTTGCTAGGATAACTTTATACAAGAAGAATTTGGTAAGCAGGTTTAGAAAACAGTGTCAGGGTATGATCTATAGTGAACTGTAATGAGAAAATATTGTATTACTATGATGTGATCAAAAATTAAAATGAAAACTGCAATGGTATTTTTCTAGAATGATTACATTCTAAAGAGCACCTGGACTTCAGTGCAGTTTGCAGACTGATAAACTACACAATTAACCAATATCCAATTTACTAGAGTAGTAAGTCAAGCAATCAGATGAGACTAGGTCAGAAACATACTGAAATACTTTCCTATTTATGAGTTTTAAATGTATTTCAGAGATTAAATAAGAGCTTATTCATTACTTGATGTAAAAAGACTTATAACTACTGTATTAATACTATTTTTTTAAATTTAGACTGTATTTCTCTGCCTCTTTCCATTCAGTAGGAAATTTTCTGTGAAATTTTTGAATTCATTTCTTCCTTATACTCTAATTTAATTAACAGCAAGTAATATTGCATAAGACCTCAAACCTTAAGTATGCCAACGTAAAGGATGCTACAATATTTGGTTATGACATTTAATCCTGCAGTGCTTCAGAACAAACACTTATTGACAAAAAATTACCATCCTAAATTTATAATGATCCATATAATGTGATAATTTAATACTTTTGAAATAATTTTCAGTTTTTCTTTGTGTAGATTTCGCATTTTTCTTTAGCATTCTTATGTCTTATCTTTTTAAAACAATGAGTTCCTACTAGCCAATGAATTGTAATAATATATTAAGCTAAATTCTAAGAATGCAAAAATAAAAATGAGTAAGTGCTCATTCTTGTCCTCAAGACAAATTGAGAGGAATGGGGAAGACAGATGGAAAAGAAAGAATAAAACAAGGGTAACTTTATATTGTAATAAGAAAAAGGAGCCTGGAGTGACATTCAGAGGAGAGGCACTTATTCCTGGAAGAGGTGACCTGAGAGATGCATTTTGAGGAAAAAGTTAGAGTTCACAAGATTAATAAAAGATAAGCAGAAGAGAATGAAACTGGGGACATAGGATACCCAAGGGGAAGAAATAATGAGAAAAGTCATGTATGGAATTAACACTGTAAAATTACTTTTAAACACTAGCTTTGTTGAGGGCTTTTCTGGAGGCACACACTAAGCTCTTTAGATATGTCATTTTCTAACAGCCCTAGAAGCAAGTACAATGACTACTTTCACACCGCATAATGTGTGAGGGATAAAAGTGGCTCAGTAGTGGGTTGAATGTTCAGTGTAAAGCATAGGGTAATATGATTATGAAGCCAGAGATAGACAGGGAACAGTTTAAAGCAGAGTTTAAAATTTGTGTTACCTTTTTTGTTTGCAGGTGATAAACACATCTGCAGAGTCTTCAACAGAGGAGTTTTGATTCCTGACACTTGAAATAGGTTATTCTGGCCACTCAATAAAGGATGGATTCAAGGGTACACAATGAAGGTACAGAAACATGCTTGAAAGTTAAACTGCAAAGGCAAGTAATTCTGGGAACTAGAACCTGGAAGAGTGGGAGCAGGGGAAAGAGGATTCATTTTTACTTCTATTTAGAAGTCTTAAAATGATTCCCTTCTTCTACAAATCCAGCATTCAACTTATGCAGACATATTTGACATAAGGAATTCTCTTAAAACAAAAACTTAAGGCATTTAAAACCCAGCAATTTTATGTAATGGCAAAGAATTAATAATTTTAAGAAATGGTATTTCTCAAAAACTTGGCTGGGCATGGTGGTGCATGCCTGTAATCCCAGCTACTTGGGAGGCTGAGGCAGGAGAATTGCCTGAACCCAGGAGACAGAGGTTGCGGTGAGCCGTGATCACGCCATTGCACTCCAGCCTGAGTAACAAGAGCGAGACTCCATCACAAAAAAAAAAAAAGATATTTCTCTCTCCAATCCTGAAAGAAATCAAATACTGAATTGCAAACAGTCTACAATGCACCTAGCTTTTCTGACACGCATCCAATTTTATTGAGAAAATGTTAGATGTTAGATTTAGAGTGTGACTTGTTAATATGCCTGGGTGTTTAAAGGTATTTTATCCACTATTAGGTCTGGTGTCTCCATCTGGAAAAAAACTGAGAAAATAACAGAGAAGCCTAAGTGCTCAGCAGCAAAAGAAATAGTTTCTCTTTTGTTTTGTCTCTTCCAGGTTGGGTATCTGAATGATGCTGACCTTACAGAATGAGTTGGGGAGGAATTCCTCCTCCTCAATTTTTTGAAACAGTCTAAGTAGGAATGGTACCAGTTTTTTGTACATCTGCTAGAATTCAGCTATGAATCTGTCTGGTCCAGGGCTTTTTGTGGTAGATAGGCTACCTATTACTGATTCAGTTTTGGAGCTCATTATTCTGTTCAGGCCAACATCCTTGAAGAACACTGATGCAAAAATCCTCAATGGAATACTAGCAAACTGAATCTAACAATAGATCCAAAAGTTAATCCAGCATGATCAAGTAGGCTTTATTCCTGGGATGCAAGGATGGTTCAACATATGCAAATTAATGAATGTGATTAATCACATAATCATTACTGGAGACAAAAACCACAGGATCATCTCACAGAGAAGTCTTTTGATAAAATTTAACATCCCTTCATGTTAAAAACTCTCAATAAACTAGGTATTGAAGGAACATAACTCAAAATGGTAACAGTCATCTATGACAAATTCACAGCCAGCATTATACCGAATTGGCAAAAGCTGAAAGCATTCCCCTTAAAAGCTAGCACAATACAAAGATGCACTTTTTAACCACCCCTATTCAACATAGTGGAAATCTTAGCTAGAGCACTCAGGCAAAGGAAAGACATAAAGGACATCCAAATTAGAAGAAAGAAACTCAAACTATCCCTGTTTGTAGACAACATGAATCTGTATCTAAAAAACCTATAATGTCATCCTGGAAGCTCCTTCAGACTGATAAACAACTTCAGCAAAGTTTCAGGGCACAAAATCAATGTACAAATATTTCTAGCATTCCTATACACCAAGAATAGCCAAACCAAGAGCCAAATCAGGAACACATTCCCATTCACAACTGCCAGAAAGAAAAAATAAAATACCTAGGAATATAGCTAACAATGAAGGTTAAAAAAATCTCTACAATGAGAATCATAAAACAATGCTTAAAGAAATCAGAGATGACAAATAGAAAAACAGTCCATGCACAGGGATAGGAAGAATCAATATCATTAAAATGGCCACGCTGCCCAAAGCATTTAACAGATTAAATGTTATTTCTATCAAACTACAAATACCATTCTTCACAGAACAATAAAAAACTACTTTAAAATTCATATGGAACCAAGAAGGAGACTGAATAGCCAAGGCAATTCTAAGCAAAAAGAGCAAAGCTGGAGGCATCATGCTACTGATTTCAAACTATACTATAGAGCTACAATAACCAAAACAGCGTGGTACCAGTACAAAAACAAACACATAGACCAATGGAACAGAATACAGAGCCCAGAAATAAGGCTATACACCTACATCAATCTGATTTTTGACAAAAGCTGACCAAAAGAAATGAGGAAATGACATCCTACGCAAAAAGTCGTGCCAGGATAACTGATAACTATATGCAAAACTGTACAATTGGACTCCTTCTTTACATCATATACAAAAATTATCTCAAGATGGATTAAAGACTTAAATGTAAAACATAAAACCCAAAACTATAAAAATTCTGGAAGGTAACCTAGGCAATGACATTCTGAACATACAAACTAGCAAATATCATAATGAAGATGCCAAAACCAATTTCAACAAAAGCAAAAATTGACAAACGGAATCTAATTAAACTAAAAAGCTTTTGCTTAGCAAAATAAACTATCAACAGAGTAAACAGACAACCTACAGAATGGGAGAAAATATTTACAAAGTATGCATTTGACAAAGGGCTAATATCCAGCATTTATAAGGAGCTTAAAGAAATTTACAAGAAAAAAACAATGCCGTTAAAAAGTGGGCAAAGTACATGAACAGAAACTTTTAAAAAGAAGACATACATGTGGCCAATAAGCACTTGAAAAAAAAAGAAAAGCTCAATATCAGTGATAATTAGAGCAATGCAAATCAAAACCAGGATGAGAAAACATCTCACACCAGTTAGAATGGCTATTGCTAAGAAGTCAAAAAATAGCAGGTGCTGGCCAAGTTGTGGAGAAAAAAGAACACTTATACATTGGTCGAGTGTAAATTTGTTCAACTATTTTGGAAAGCAGTGTGTCAGTTCCTTAAAGAGCTAAAACCAGAACTATCATTTGATCCAGAAATCCTATTATTAGGTGGATACTCAAAGAAATATAAATTTTTCTATCATAAGAAAAATGCACACATATGCTCTTTGCAACATTATTTACATTAGCAAGACATGGAATCAACCAATATGCCCATCAGTGGAAGACTGGCTACAGAAAATGTGGGACATATACACCATGAAATACTTGTGCATTAATAAAAAAGAACAAGATCCTGTCCTTTGCAGGGATGTGGATCGAGCTGGAAGCCATTATTTTTAGTAAACTAACTCAGAAACAGAAAACCAAATACTGAATGTTCTCATGTACAAGTGGGAGCTAAATTATGTAAACACAGGGACACAATGAGGGGGACAGTAGACACTGGGGCCTACCAGAGGGTGAAGGTTGAAAGGAGGAAGAGGAGCAGAAAAAATAGCTACTGGGCACTAGGCTTAGTACTTGGGTGATAAAATAATCTGTACATCATACCCCCAGGACATGAGTTGACCTATATAACAAATTTGCACATGTACCATTGAACATAAACTTTTTAAAAAAAATAAATAGTTTATAATTGTGCTACCTCAGTAACTTAGTTTCGTAGAAGCTATTGTAAAATCTGCACTGCCTTGTCATACAAATGCCTCTTGCTTTAGCCCAGCAATTTCCAAAATTAAGCATTTTATATGTGATTTGCTTTTTGATTATAATATAATAATATTTAATGCTGCATGTTATAGTTTTAATTATGTAATAAAGGAAATAGAATAATGTATTAAAAAGTCAGTAGGTGCTGGAGAGGTTGAAAAATATATGAATTAAAAGATACTTTCATAGAAGGAGCTGTGAAATCTGCCAGTAATGCAAATCAGAAATTATTTGTGATAACAAAGCAGGCAGGAGGAAAAGTATTTGCATGGTAAACAGAGCTGAAAGTCTCAAGGACAGAGCTGATTCTGTCGCTAGAGGATGTTGTGAAACTAGGGGAAAAAATAATGGTATCTCACCAAGGTTTCAACAAAGATGAAATATAAGCTATGGATAAATGTTTTCAAATATGCTTCTACCAAAAAATGACCCGTTTACATTCTCACCATTGTCTGAGAATTACCATTTAACTGTACCAATTAAAAGTACACCTGAACAAGTTTCCTTGCTTTGAAGTTTGTCCTGACTGAAATAAAAATACTACAGCTTTCTTTTGATTATTATTAGCATAGTTGATTACTCTCCATCCATCTACTTTTGATCTATATGTGTCTATATCTAAAGTGGGTTTCTTCTAGGCAACATATAGTTGGGTCTTATTTTTGAACAATGGACATTTCTGAAAATGTCTGTCTTTATTGGAATATTTAGACCATTGACATTCAAAGTGATTATTGATATAGAATTAATATCTATCATATTTGTTTCTGTTTTCTGTTTGTTTCCCTTGTTCTTTCTTCCTGTTTTTGTCCTCCACTCTTTTTATGCCTGTTGTGATTTTAATTCAACATTTTATATGGTTCAATTTTATCTTCTTTTTTACTATAACAATTTTACTACTTCTTTATTTTAAAATTTTTACTGCTTGTCCTTAAGTTTACTTCATACATTTACAACTAATCCAAGTCCACTTTTGACTAACACTATACCATATTACATGTAGTTCAAATACCTTAGAGTGACAAAATAATTCTAATCCCTACCATCCCTACCACTGCCAGCAGGTTCCCATTGTTGACATTCATTTCACTTAAACAAAAGTATAAAAAAATAAACATATATACATATAAACGAGCACCCAAATCTAATACATTTTTGCTATTAATTTTATACATGAACTGTTACCTGTTATTTGTGATATCAATTAAGAATAAGAAAGATAAAAATTGTTATTTTGCATCCACTTATTTCCTAGCTGATGTTATTCCTTTCTTTATGTAGAGCTGAGTTTCTGAACTATATAATTTTCCTTCACTCTAAAATCTTTTTTTAACTTTTTATACATAGCAGGTCTACTGGTGAGAAATTCACTCATGTTTTAGCTGTCTTTGAAACTCTGTATTTCTTCTTCACTTTTGAAAAACTATTTCGTAGGGTACAAAATTCTAGGTTGGTGGTTTTATTTTATCCAAATGTTTTAAATATTTTACTCCACTGTCTTCTTGCTTGCAGTTTCTCAGGAGTTGGATATCATTCTAATTTTTGCTACCCT